TTCATAGTGCTTTACATCCCCCTCTTAAGCCGTTTACAGAGTCAGCCTATTGCTCCCAACAATCTGGGTTCTCATTTTACCGACCTTGGAAGGATGGAAGGCTGAGTCAACCTTGAGCCTGGTGAGATTCGATCTGCCAAATAGAGGACAGCCGGTGATCAGCAGAAATAGCCTGCACTGTAACCACTGTGCCACTGTGATTCAAATCCCTGACAGTACTTAGTCACTATGGCATATGGTCACTGAAAAAAATCTGAATTAAAAAGTGCATTTTCTGGGACCAAGAATCTTGGTTCTGCATTTAGGAAGACTCATCGAGTTACATTAATTACACTGCTTAATTAGTTGAATTCCCAGTTTCAAGATTCCTCCTACAGGATACATGGGCTGGGTATATACAATACTTAATCTAAATCATAGTTATCTACTTGGATGTAGTGTAACAAATTTCTATGAGGCATTTGAGTTGATTAAAATATAGGGACACTTGTAAGGAAGTGGGCTATGTACATCAACAGTCTTGCCCTCAACATCTTATATGCCACTTCATTTCTCAAATCTTCATGTTAAGGTGAAAAATCTGCAAGCGGAGACTACTTGAAAATCAGAAGAACCTTTCCTGTGATTTGGGACCTCATTATCCTGCAAAAGATTGTGGCAGACTTCCCTACAGTATTCAATCCAGGAAGATCTTGGCAATGCTATCTATTTTTTTATATAAATATAAACACCCACACGGTACTTACATACACAGCCTATCCAGACATAACACTTGTAATATTGTTGTAGTTTCTTTGAAATAAAGCCATTGCTCTACGCAAAAGAATGACTAGGCTGAATATAGAGAATGGGAAGTATCTAAAATACAGGCTGCTACTATCAATGTAACGTAGTACTTTCTTACCTTAGGGATGCAGGAGAGGAAAGGCTTGATTTCAATATTTGTTTCAATTACTTTTAACTGATGATCTCCCAGGCCTCGAGATACAGCCAGGGTGCCTAGTAAACGAGCCTGAAAGAGATGAGAATAGATTCCAGGCTAAAGATGTAATAACTTAAGGCATGGGAGACAATGTCACCAAGAGTTAAAGTAAGCAGTAATATATAAGTAATTAACAGTATATTTATATCCAAATATTTATTTTGCAGCTTGCCACATCAGTATAGTCAACAGTATAATTATCATGTAAAAAGTAGCATTTTCCCACAGCATAAGAAGCATGCCATAAGAGGACAAGATTGTTCCTACCTAGAAATTAAGAATCAAAATGGGGATGGAATAGCATGGGGCAGAGTTTTAATCTCTTAGTAACTGGGCTTTTAGCTGATAGTTCTATCCTGTTTCCCTGAAAATAAGACCTCCCCAGATAATAAGCCCAATCGGGCTTTTGAGAGCATGCACTAAAATAAGCCGTACCCTGAAAGTAAGCCCTCCCTGAAAATATTGCAACACAGCAGCAGCCATGAGGTGACCACGCTTGCACCTCAAAAATAATAAGACCTCCCTGAAAATAAGGCCACACACTTATTTCGTGAGTCAAAAAAAATAAGACCCTGTCTTATTTTTGGGAAAGCACGGTACTTTAGAAGCAAGGACCACCCAGGATCCAATAAGATAAATAAACTGGATGCTTTGATTTTTTTTTAAATATCCAGAAGAGTAACTAGTCTTCTCCCATCTGGTGTCCTCCAGATTGTGTTGAAATTGCAACTTCCAGCCCACATAGCTGACAACTTTTTAAGCTAGGAATTCTAAACTTAACACAATGAGGGAACATATGACTATTGAAGGTTATTTAGGTTTTAACATACACATTGCATTCTCACAATTAGGTTTCTCTGAATTACTTCCCCTGAAATAGTTCACTTATTCCCTAGTACACGATCATAAAACATGCAGCCACACAGCAGCCAGAGAAGCTTCTCCTTTTAGTTTAACCTGCTCTGGAGAGCACTCATGACCGGCATGTCCATTAGCATTTCAAATGGCAAGGATTCCCTTAGTACAGCTTTGTAGCTTTATTTTTTTCTTCTACACTTTGTTTCTTTAATCAGTGAACTGTAATTGTTAGAAGCAGAGGATTCATGGCCAAAAAAACCACAGACAGCAGCTTGCTGTCTGTGGACAAGTCAGAGGATTTCTCTTGACTGTTGGGGACAAATAAGAAGGCTGGTGCTGTTGTCATGAACACAATAAAGTGCTACCAACATTCCAACTGCATTTATCATCATGTCTCTGATGAACTGGGATAGCAGGGATAGCAAAGAAGAGAAGTTGACAGGGCCAGATGTCCTATTCCCTCACTTCTGTTCACCTAAGAATTTGTAGCAGTGGAATAACTTTCCATCCACAAAGTTCCTGCACTCCCTGGGTGACCACGGGATCCTCAGCTGTCCCATTGTCATAGCAGCCCTCTCCATTAACTGGGCCACATGAGAAAAGAGAAGCAAAGACAGGGATAGAAAAAAATGGTGCCAATTCTCTTCCTCCGTCCTCCTCTTCCTCAGGTTTCCTGTCTAATTCCCAATGACCCAGTGAAGACTAGGCTGACACCTGAATGAAGGCCATTCAACAAGGGAGACATGCCCTAGTTGCCTAGTTTATACTACATAGATGCGTCCCCTCAGAACTTCTAAGATGGAGAGGAATAGGGAATTGTCCCTAGATGACAAAAAGGAGTAACAGCCAGGTCTCAAATCTACCAGATTTTTCTAGGAAATTAAATAAAATTTCCACAAACCACAAGATTCAAGACTTGAAAGAACCACTCTCTTGGTCAGAGGTAGTTCCCTCGGTTACTAATTGTAGGTTTTCTGTTTCCCAAAATAGTTCCAAAGATGCTTTTTCAAGAGGCAACTGGGCTCTTTTTTTCCCCTTTCTTTTTGAAAGAAAAACCAGAAAGTCCAGTTGCCTCTTTAAAAAGTACCTTTGCGATAACCATGACATGGATAACTGAAAATCTACATAGATGTTTCCCAAGATAATTAATAATTACACTCAATTATTAATATAAAGCTCAGGATAGTGAAGGTGTCCTTGATTGTCATACCTCTTTCTTCAGCCAGTGTTAGATCATCTCGTGACCTCTTCCCCCAGAGTGCATTCTGTGGTAACTCTTACCTTGAACTCTTTGTTAATATAGTGGAAGCATCAATCATACAGAGGACAGGCAGAATGAAATTTTATACCCCAGGGCTCATAAGGCTACATCCAGATTTACCTCATAAATGCTAGCCTATTTAGCTTTGTGTTCCAGGTAAAAGCATGGAAGCCAACATGGCCAAAATCCAAATTTATTCCTCATACTGACCACATTCAAGAATGACAAACTGTTTGGAAAAGACCTGAGATTAAGGTCAAAAAGAAACTCTCTTAAAAAATGGAAAAGGGGAGGCAACAGGACATGATAATGAATTTTCCAATGGGACCACAAAATGATTTGCCCATATCCCAAAAGCCATCTAGAGAAGAATTGGTCATCAAATTCTACAAGAACAAAACAAAAGAATTCACAGTTTTAATACAATCCAAACTATGAAAGTGGGATGCCCGAGGGACATCATACCTGTTTCCCATGTCCATGAATCAGAGGGTATTTGAGGTCCTCTTTCATTACTGTCTTATATCCCCTGAAACAAACCAAATAAGTGAGTCGTCATTTTATTTGCCATTACATTGCAGTGTCTACAAGTTAACATGGATGTTTAAAACACCTAATCTTAATGGACACTTAATTCTGTGTTGACATTTATAGAATACCTTATACAGAAAAATTGTATTCTTTTCTCTAAATGATTGAGAAACACTAATTGAGAAATACAAATCTAAATGATTTGTTAAGAGGTCAACATTTGAATGACACCATACATGAATACATTGCATGAAATGCAATAGAAGCAGCAGTTCAAAAGCAATTTCAATGAACTGGCCTATAGAAGTCCACTTCAACAAATGTCAAAATATTTTTTTATTAGCAAACCTATTTCATCCTCCCCCATCAGTTATTGTTCTTTATTACTAAATTTAATAAATTTGGCCTTGAGGACTCCTAATTTTCATTTCCACTTTTAAGGAAAGTAAGTAACTATTAAAGATCATTGGAACACTGTATATTTATCAGTACATAGAAAGAAACAAAAAAAATCCCTTTATGTTTTACAAATATTCCCTCCTTCTGTAGACCAGAATCCATTCTAGCTTCAATATTTTTGATACACAACGAAAACAATATGGCTGTAGGCAAACTGGCCCCTGCAACGTTACTTGGGGTTCTCTTAGCCTAAGTGGTTTAATTTGAAGCAACAATTACAAACATCAGGAGAGGAAAGAACAAAAGAAGGTGGGACAAACGGATGCAAGCCACAATCAAGACGAGGTTGTTAAGAAGCAACCTAAGGAAAAAAGGAAGGAAACAGAAAGCCCTAAAAGATTACTCATACAAAACACCTAAAACCAGGCCATTCAAGAAACTCACCAGCCTTCCATTGAGTAATCTCTGTAGAGGACCTTCTGGCCTACATCATCTCCTTTCAATCTCCTTGGAAACTCAAACCGTGTGAACTCATCTGCAAGGAGCTTTGGGTACATGAAAGCCTAGGGGGAAAAATGAAAATGGGGAACAATATTGTTCTCAGAATACAATGAGCCTTAAGAAGTAGAAGCTGAAGATAAGACTCTTATATTAACAGATGTTAGGGAAGTCACTCAATTTTCCCCATGAGGATTTTTTTACACGTATTTTTCCTCATTAAAAAAAGACAAAAGGTTTGGATTTCTTCACTGGGCAAACAATTTGTTATTCTAAGTGATAAGAGCATCAATCTAATGTACTCTTTGTCTAGTTATATGCAAATGCCAGAAATCTGCAGCCAACATTAGCAGATGGGCTAAAAATGTAGAGAGTTGAAGTTATCAGAAAGGTATCAAATTGGGGAAGACTGTACTAAGCACAGCTCAGTGTAATACTGAAAATATTACAGAATTACAACATGCAGTATTCAGAAAAATCATAACATTTCTTTATTGTTTGTTTGTTTATTGGATTTATATGCCGCCCTTCTCCCAAAGGAATCACAGCAGTATACAACATAAAAACCCCCACATATTACAAAAGTTAAAAAGAAAATTAAATAAAAGTATCCAAAAACAAACCCAATTAATATTAANTTGTAAGTCAAAGACTACCTGTGCTTATTAGCACTTTTCCATGTATATTATAAACCTTGTAGTATTTACTGTATGTCACTAAATCCCGTCCCTAAAATACCACCTTCTAATTTAATTGAACTCAAAGTGTCTTGAGAAGCAACTTGAGTGTTTTGTTACACGTAAAATGAAATGAGCAACATTCCCCGCCGTCAAAAATACGCGCGAAATAATTCCCCGCCAACGCTGAGCGCGATTGGCTTCGCCCAGCCAATCGCGAACCACGGCAGCCTAACCCACTCTACCAATGGGCTCCCTAATGCGGGACGCATGCGCATTGCCTTCCTTTGAAACAGCGCATGGGTCATTCCCTTCGGTTTCCCTTTCTTCCCATCTCGCTTACCTTCAGCCACTGTGATTCCGGAACTGAAAGCAAGAGGGCGATCGCTGCAGAGGCAGTCTAATAGAACGAGGGTTTGACCTATGACCCGGGGTGAAAGATCAAAAGTCGCAGGGAATATGGCGCCCAATATGTCTAACGAAAGGAAGGTGCCGATCGGCTGTGAGGCTTAAGCGGCTTAAGGAGAGCCGCCAAGCATCGCTCATCTCCGTGGAGTTGCGTACGTGGACACCTCTCCCGCCGGCCGGCTGCCCGACAGGAAACGTCCCTCCGACTTTCTCCAGGAAGGTTAAAACGCCGCTGCTTTCGGAAGTCGCCCGTGGCTTCCAGGAATACCGCTCGCTTTTCTCAGTGCTTCTCATTAACGGGCCGCCGTTTCCTCTCCGAACAAGCTTCCTTGTCTGTCGGAGACCCTCCGCCGCCGCTCCTTCTCCGGTGCAGCTGGAGCCCCGTTTCGCTGAACTCCTTTTTTGCCCCCACCAGGCTAATTTGCTGCGAATTGAAATCTCCAAACTTGCTTTGAACCCCCAGGAAAGTGTCTTGGAGACCCTAAGAGATACGCCTTTTGAGAAGACTAGGCAGCTGGACATTCCCTTTACTTAAGTCAGGTGCTCCCTTGGTAATCAAATCCAAATGGTTGCTAAGGTTCAAAAGATGATAATAGAAAGTCTCCACTCAATAAGTCTGGAAATACTGTAAGATTACCTGCAAGTGATTCCGACCGGATCTGTATCTGGAACATAAATTCAGTTATGAGGATTATTTTGGTGTCTTTTTCTCTAAAAGTGAACATTGATACGTAACAATTCAGCCTAGAAATAGTTGGTGATAGATACAACTTGCTATTATAAAGAGGAATCTGAGAAGCCTCTGCACTGCATAACTAAATGGCTGTAGAAAACGTTTTAATTTGGATGCTAAAAGTTACTACTTATAAGATGAATCTTTTTAAGCCAACAATATAAATCTGCCATTCTGTAACTACAAGAGAAAGTTTTTTAAAGAAGAAATTCTTTCTTGCTTTGTAACATATAATTACATCACATTAGAATCTTGAATATGAGGTGTAAATATCCAAGTCTTAGGAATCAGTGTTACTAAGTTTCTGATTTAAAAAAAAGTTTAAATAACTCCTTAAGTTGATCATACACATTTTTTAAATTTATTTTTCTATTTTTAAATGGGTGGATGGTGCCTCTGGATGTTTCTTCGGGTTGTTTTGAGATTTACTGCCAAAAATGCTTTCTTACAAAAAACTTTTCAAAAAAAGGAAGAATTGAAAGTACTTTTGTAAAGACTGCTAAAGAGGATGATGATATGTGTTTGATTTTCACCAAAATTTAGTGCTTCTCTTCATCATGAACAGAAAGAAAGGAGACAAAGGGTTTGAGAGCCCAAGACCTTATAAATTATAAGTATACTTAACTATAGTTTCTTTTTTAAAGTATCATGAAGTATCATTGAAATGTCCAATATCTTATTTGTTGAAGACTGGTATAAGCAATAATTTAAAAAATGGTTGAACATATTTTAATGAATAGATGTCAATTTCATATAAGATGGAATTCATCTTTGTGGGAGGGACCAGTGCTATGTCTGGGATATAGCTTTTTATTTGTTAAAAATAACTTTGTGTCTAGAGTCAATATGCAGCATGTTCCCGCAAACAATTTGAACTCAATTTTTAGTATGAATTTTATGAATTACTTAGACTAATGTAGTCTGAACATAAATACAGATAGTCCTTGACTTACAACAGTTAATTTAGTGACCATTCAAAGTTACAACGGCACTATAAAAGTTACCTATGACAATTTTTCACACTTAAAACCTTTGTAGCATCCCCATGGTTATGTGATCAAAATTCAGATGCTTGGCAATTGACTCCTGACGGTTGCAGTGTTCTGGGGGGACATGTGATCAATTTTTGTTATCTTTTGACAAGCAAAGTGAATGGGAAAGCCAGATTCACTTAACAACCATGTTGTTAACTGGAGTGGTTCACTGAAAAACTGGCAAGAAAGGGGGTAAAATGGAGTAAAATTAACTTGACAGGTGCCTCACTTAACAACAGAAATTTGGAGCTCAATTGTGATTGTAAGTTGAAGACTATCTGTACATTTAACAGGTTTCTTTGTTTCACACCAGTTCTCTATAAGGTATTGCATTGATTTCAGCATAGGGCTGTACTTGGATTATTTATTGCTATGTATGGTTATTCTGATCAGTCAAGAAAGATGAGACAGTTAAGAATTTGGGGAGAAATAAGATGACATGTATGCTTATAGTGAACTGGACAGTTGAAATCTGGAAATCTTTCACTAACATTCTGATAATTATCTGAAATTTGGTAAGAAAGGAAAGCGTTTAGTGTCAGGGAAACAATTTACCATCCTAGTTCAAAACATATATTAAGAAACATACATTTCTGAACTGTTTTTAGTGAATGAAAATGAAATTTCAGTATGAATGTGTTTTACATTTACACCTAGTATAGATCTCTTTCATTAAATGTGAAATAAGGCATAATGAAAATACTTTTTGTCTAGACTTAACCATAGACGCTCTTGAATTGAAACATTCCAAGGAAATGTTTTACCGGTTGCTTAAAATATTAGGTTATGTACAGTGCACTCAAAAAGATGAACTATGCATTTGTCCTTATTACCAAATGTTATGTAAACCTAGATTTATCAAAATATTTATTTTGAATTTTCTTTTTTCCCCAGCACAACCCATCAGGTGATTTGCATCAACAGCATAAATTTTCAGAGAAAATCTGTTGTTGTAAGTATGTTAAGAAGAAAGCATTATAGGTTACTAATGGGTACCAAACTCACCTACCCTCCCTTCCTTATTTCACTATTGAGAGGAATTTAATTTCTTCATCTCAGATAGGCTCAGTTAAAAAACAGATCAAAGGGAAACATCTCTGAATTAATGCCCTTTGGCATAGACTTCAGATAGATGGCTATACTGGCTTCACATGTGGCATGTTAATGATTTTTCTTGATTTAATCACAATTAGCTGATTCAGAAATCATGCTAGGCTATAAGATGGCATTACAAACCCCATTGATTTGGCCCAAAACAGTGAGCATTAACATTTTTGTGGTTTAGTGGTTTTATTCTGTTTCCCAGAGTTTTACCTTTAAATAGGCACCATACAAATATTTTAAAATAAATAAATTATTAGAGGATTTAGAACAATAAATCTAAAAGTCATAGTCTGATATTCTATAAGATCTTATTTCAAATCACTGTTTTGCCATTCAATTTATTTATCATCTTCAGAGAGAACATATGGAAAAAAATAATTTCATTTCACGTTGTCTATTTGCATTAATTGTTTGGTTTTTGATTTTTTTTGATAGCAGTAATCCAGATCTTAGTTTGAATATTTTTCATGTAGATTTTTTTTTGTGAGCTAAACTCATTTTGCAAATTAATTGAAAAGAGAAGCAGCATATGCTTTTCCTTCTAAGACTGAGATTTATGAAACAATACATGGGTTTTAATATTTAAAGGTTGGAATTCTTTTATTGATAAAAAAAGGAGTCCCTGTGGATCTTGCTTCAATAGTCATTGCTGACTAGAGCAGGGGTCTCCATCCTTGGCAACTTTAAGACTTGTGAAGTTCACAAGTCTTAAAGTTGCCAAGGTTGGAGATCCCTGGTCTATAGGGGGATGGTGCTCATTTTCATTTCAAGGCGCATTGAGCCAAAGTTGTCTGAAGACATTTCCACGGTCATGTGGCCAATATGACATCATGGATCAAAAGTGTACTACAATTCTAATGATTGTGTTTTATTTTTGAAAAGGAGAATGCAATTCCAGAAAGTAATATTAGAAGTGTCAGTGAGAAAACGGAAGTGAATCGGATGATAGAGAACTCTTTTTTTATGCTATAATTAAAAGTCCACATGAAATAGAAAATATGTTTGGCTTTGACCCTGAAGCAAACCATTGCATTCTAGAAGTTCTGCCAACCGTTTTGGATCTCATATGATACGAAAGAAAGAAAATCCAGAAAAGTTGAATTGAGTTTTAGCTATGAAACAAAATTCAGAGGGATGCCAGGGTGAACAGGCAGAGCAAGTTGGGGCAAGACTGAAATTCTCTCTTGCTTCTACCTGGCCTCAATTTTCCTAATATCTTCTTATCCCTCCCGCCTCTATTTCACCTCAGATGCAAATGTATCAGCATTGCATAAATATAAGTTTTGTTTAGGTTCAGATAATCCAAACCAGCTGTTCCTTGTACAGACTCATTTGTGCATATCTTGGTTTTATAAAAAGCACACAATTTTGATTATAAGCTTTTTGTGCTAATTATATAAAGTATATCTGACATTGGGGTTTCTTTTTGTTTTTTTGTAGGGCTATGTGGAGCTGACAATATTTCCAACAGTTGCAAACCTGAATAGAATTAAACTGAGCAGTAAGCAATGCAGGATATATAGAGTTAGAGTCAATGATTTGGAAGCAGCTTTTATATATAATGATCCAACATTGGAAGTTTGTCACAGTGAGTCAAAACAGTAAGTAACAGGTCACACTGGTTAATGTCCTTGCGGTCATTATCAGTGATTTTCACGGCAGAATATAAATTGCATTTCAGAACTACAGATGCCTTTTAAAAAGAGATGTTTTGGAATGCAGTTGTTTGGTAATAATAATGACCAATAGAAACTTCTTGTACTGTATCATATTTTAGGAAAGTTGAAACAGCATCACTGAACTCATTTAAATTCAAGGTCTCTTAATACTTTTTGTTCATTAGGTGCAGTTCATTACTTGCTATAGAGAAAGCATTAATTGGACCATTTGGTTATTATGAGCATACATTTCATGTCATGTAGTAGAAATATTTAAAAATTATAGAGAATGTTTAATAGGATTCTCCCATTTTATTACTTGTATTGTTATTAATGTCTACCTAGCTTTTCTGAATCAGGTTTTGTTGAATACAAAGTGGAGGAATTTTTTGCTCTCCAAATGCTATAGAATTGCTGTTTCTAGTGCGTGAGGCTGCTGAGACTTAAAGCTTATGGGGGTTTTTTTGAGGGGAAAAGACAAGGTGAAAATAAGCAATAAAAAACTAAAGCAAAAATAATAATGAAGAATTTAGAAGACTAGTTCTGCTTGCCTTAACTGTGAAAGCCAGCTGGGTGACTTTGGATCAGTCATTCTCTCTCAGTTCAACCCACCTCACAGGGTTGCTATTGTGGGGAAAATAGGAGGAGGAAGATGTGATGAATATGTTTGCCACCTTGAGGTATTTGTAAAAAAAATGGTGTGTGGGTTCAGGCCATCTGAGAAACCAGCTCACCCTGATGGGATTAAGCCCTTTTCAGCTGTCCAGAAGAAGAGCCTTTACTGCAGTGGCTCCCACCCTTTGAAATATCATGCCTGCCAAAATGATATCCACACCAGAGGTGGTATTCTGCCGGATTGTAGTGTCGGTGGCAGGAGGCTCCGCCCGCCCACCCAGATGTCATCACAGACGCTATGCGCGGAAGCGCCGCACGCACTCCCAGTTCTGAACCAGTAGCGAAGATTAGAGCATTTCATGCCTGCACACCTAGCTTTCTGGCCTTCCGAAAGGCCTTGAAAATGTGGCTCTGCCATCTAGTCTGGGACCGCAATGGGGTGTGTGGCACTTTGGAGGTTGCTAATAGACTAGAAGGCATCCCATTTCTTTTCTGTGTAAACTTTGCTTTCTTCATTTCCATCCTGGTTAGTTTTATTTTTGTGGAATTTTAAACTTATGATCTTTATTGATTTTAATGTTTTATTGTGCATTTTGATTGAATACCTGTAAGTCAGAGGGATGGATGGATGGACGGACAGATGACAGGCCTTGCTCCATGTGCTGAATCCATATTATGAGAATATACAACATGTGATTCTTTTCTCCGGGTTTTCTTAAAACACTTCACATGTTCTATGGTGATTGAATGGCTTTTCCAGGGTGTTAGAAGAATGTATTGTTTTAGAAATATAGTAATTCCTGGAGGATTTATTACTTTGGAGTGCTGTTTTGTTATTTTTGGGAGGAGCTGCTTCCAAACGTGGATTGCCTTTCTTTAATCCAGTTTTTGCTGAAAGTTGAAATAATTTACTCATTCACGTTGCAGGCGAAATCTCAACTATTTTTCCAATGCCTATGCTGCTGCAGTCAGTGCTGTGGATCCAGACGCTGGAAATGGAGAGTTGTGTATTAAAGTGCCATCAGAGCTTTGGAAGCATGCTGATGGTACAGTACAAGCTCCTACAGTTTTGTGAAATAAATATCTGTTTTATTTAGATTTATTTCTTCATTCAGTTTCTATAGACACCCAACTCTCAACCAGGTAAACACAGGTAGTCCTTGATTTATGACCACAATTGAGCCCAATATTTCTATTGTTAAGTGAGTTTTCCCCCAATTAGGATTTATTTGCCACAGTTGTTAAGCGAATCACTGCAGGTGTTAAGTGAATCTGGCTCCCTCCATTGACTTTGCTTGTCGGAAGGTTAGAAATGGTAATCACATGACCCCAGGATAGTGCAACTGTCATAAATACAAGCCAGTTGTCAAGCGTGTGAATTTTGATCATGTGACCATGGGGATATTGCAGTGTTTGTAAGTGTGAAAACTGGTCATCAGTCCCTTTTTTCCAGTGCTGTCATAACTTCGAACAGTCACTAAACAAATGGCCGTCATCCCCACAATCGTGATCAAAATCTGGGCACCTGGCAACCGGCATGTTTTTCCTTTTTTTTTTTTTTAGTACCATTGTAAGTTTGAATGATCGCTAAATGAATGATTGTAAGATGAGGACTACCTGTATAGATTTAGGATGTAGTTAGGATTCCTCCTTTCAGCATCCTATTTTTCTCTTTCCAAATATGTTAACACAAATGCAGAATTCTCTTGAAAGCAATGTGAAAGCAATACGTATATACATATTCTAAAGCAGTGATCTTTTTTTTTTTCTTCAGAATTAAAAGTGTTAAAGATACACATCAACTTCTCTTTGGATCAGCCAAAAGGAGGACTGCATTTTGTGGTACCTAATGTGGAAGGCAGCTTGGCAGAAAGAGGCGCCCACGTTTTCTCTTGTGGATATCAAAACTCTACAAGGTGAGATTTGGGCAGTCTTATTTTCCTGGTAGAAGTAGTTTTCCCGATGTGTGCATTTGTCTCTGTTGTGTATGTGGGAAAGTGTTGAAACAAGCCCATTTTGCTCCCATTTTGCTTATTTAAGGATTTCTGAGCCACGAGAAAAAAGAATATATCGACAAGGAATATTCTTTTTACTGCAATTTTTCAAAACAATGGTAGATACAGTAGCATTATATACTGTGTTTCCCCAAAAATAAGACAGGGTATTATTTTCTTTTTACACACAAAATATGGCTTGGGCCTTATTATTAGGGGAGTGCTTATTGTTTTGGGGTTGCCGGGTGGCTGCTCTCTTGTGAGCGGGCTCCCAAAAAGCCGGGCACAACCTTGGGGCGAACAGCTGTGTTGCGCTGTCATGGCAGTGCAACACAGCCGTTTGCCCCGAGGCTGGGTACAGCGCCGCTCACCAACCTAGGGTATCCCGAAGGTGTCAAGCAACGTGATCACCTTTGCCCCCCCCCCCCCCCCCCCCCCCCCCCCCCCCC